GAGAGAGAGAGAGAGAGAGAGAGAGAGAGAGAGAGAAAAGGAGAGGGAGAGAGAGAGGGGAAGGGAGAGAAACATTGTTGTGAGAGTGGAACATCGATTGGCTGCCTCCTGCATGCTCCCTATTGGGGATGGAGCCTGCAACCCGGCATGTGCCCTAACTAGGGAAATTGAACCGACAGCCTTTCAGTGCACAGGACAATACCCAACCAACTAAGCCACTCTGGCCAGGGTGGCGGCATTGCCTTTTAGAAGAAAAGCAAGCATTTTCAGCTCTCAGTGCTATAGAACTGACAATTGATACTTGTGCTATGAAGCAGGAAAATAGATCTCATCTTCTGTGCCAATTCCAACACATTGAGAGTGGCTTCCTGGGGCGCTGTGTTGGGATGAATTCTGAGATTGCTTCCAGCTCCGTAAGAACGAGAACAGTGATCAATTAAGGGCTGGAGGGTCACAGCATGTGTGCTATGCACTTGGTAACCATGATGAAGCAGCATTTAAAAAAAAGTCCCAGACTTACCAGATAAGCCACCCACGTCCATCTTCTTCAGGTTCTTTGCCTCCAGGATGACAACAGTCAGTTTGCCAGCAGTCGGTACATAGCGAAGGGAGAAGCAGATGTCACCCAGTTTCTCTTGCTACAAAAGCCAATACACAAGCATAAGTAACTTTTCAGATAAAGATAAATATAGTCTACAAATACATTGTAATTCCTCAGGAGGAAGGAGCGTTATGACAATTAGTTGGGAAATTCTTAGGCTCATCGGCCTCTGCCCAGTGGTCTTTCGTAAGGTGTCATCATGAGGGACTGCAACCCATTTCAGTTTTTAAACAGCTCACTTACGCTTTAACATTCATTGAACTAGATCCATAATCCAACGGTTCAGGAAATGAGATCAAGATGACTTCGCTAGAGACTCCACTCTGAATGGCACTGCCACACTCTGGGCAAACTTCTTAACTTTATTAAATACCTTTGCAAGGAGCCAGGCACTTTTTTAGTAAAATCACCCCTACCTAAATTTTGGTCTCTTTATACCTCAAATAGGATTATGTTTAATACTTTATATTTAGATTTTTTGATAAAAGACAATTGATTAGAATTTCTAGTAACTGAAAAACAATGGAGTAAGTTTTTGCACTTTCATTTTTACTCATTTCAAGTGAGGTCTAACTTTCTTTCTCTTTATCCTAACATGTGTTAAAATCTAAATTCTAATATTTGTAAAAATCTAAGTGGCGGGTTGGAAAAAAAAATACATAGTAATAAAAAAGAATCCCATAGCCCCTCACCTATTTAATTGATACCATATTTTACGTTCAAAGCACATTCACCAATCCTGTACCCAGGCATTTCTGAACAAATGAGTCAGAGTTGAAGATGATGGTATACAAAACTTGTATTTACTTTTCCAGAAAGAACTGCTATGGGTTCTCCCACCTTAAGTGTCTTACTCTCTGGCATCACTCATTAAGAACCATGTTGTTAGAACTTTCGTGTTCGTATTTATAAGCATGAGGGAGATGATGTGGGAGAAGCTGGAGGATCTACACAGCTTTCTGCCACAGGGAATTAGGTATCTGACAAACTAGGGTTTATTTCTTATTGCCTCCCTCCTACCCCCCCCCCCCCCCCCCCCCCCAAAAAAAAAGTGAATTCTGGTTCCAAAGACAGTAATGGTTATCAGATTTCTGAAGATAGACTTTTAACATAGGAGTGAGTTACAGAGGCCATCTCCTCATGTCCTCTCATGTTATGCTCTTATTATGACCATATTTAGCTTTACCTATAACTTTATGAATAGTAAATCAGCCAGAGTCTCCAGTGTAGAAATATCTGCCTACATGTAAGTTAACAATTAAGGAAATGTAATTCCTTTATAGGATACTCATTATATCCACCTCTAAGAGAGAAAGGCATAGCTACCTGTTCTATGCTTTATCTACAGGTGAGAAGTAATATATTCAGTGTGTGTGAGAAGTGATGCTCTTTCTGCTTAAGTAGTGCTTTTATTGAAAATATCAACATGTGTTTTTTTAATTTAAATACATTTTTATTGACTTCAGAGAGGAAGGAAGAGGGAGAGTAAGATAGAAACATCAATGATGGGAGAGAATCATTGATCGGCTGCCTCCTACACATCCCCTACTGGGGATTGAGCCGGCAATCCGGGCATATGCCCTGACCAGGAATGGAACTGTGACCTCCTGGTTCATAGGTCAATACTCAACCACTGAGTCATGCTAACTGGGCTCAACATAGTGTTTATATCCCCCATTCTTTCATTCCTTGAGTCCTCAGAACATCTTACCTATACATCTCTCAAGTCACTAAGGACTTATTTTTTATCTTATGGTGCACACGTCTTAGTTTTCCCACATGACTGTAAATTCCTTAAGGACAAGGTCCTTGCTTAAATTATCAGTTCCCACACATTTCCAAAAAAGCAAATGGCAACTTTAGATAATATCCCCTTTTGAGTTATGTAGGTCATAGCTCACCTCCATTAGTGTAGGTAATAGTTACTTCTAATGTGCTAAATTCACCTGAAATGCCACCCCTACAAATTAATTTACACATCAGAAGGACCTGGTGGAATAAATTACTTTTCATAGTCTTTGAAAATACAGAATGAGAGTCAATATCACAGAAATTAATACAAAGTGTAGACAAATTTATCTGAACTTTATGAGATAAGAGAGATGTAAATGAACAAAATTGCTGTTCAAAAATGCTCATTAGGAGGAGGGTTCTTTTTGCTGGATTCTGTCTTTTTGCCACAGGACCCTCCCTGGGGAACTCACTGTGTTGCAGAACCAGGTTACTGTAGCAGTTCTAATTAGGCATTTTAGACATGACTGTTCTCTTTGAAATGACACCTCTCTTTATGGCCCATAATTTAATTCCATAGTTAATTTATTGGCATCTCAATTGTTTAAAATAATGTCACAACTTACCTACATCCTAGTATCATTTTATTCTATCTTATGATATTTAGGGAACTTTAAAGATTTTACATAATATTTAGTTTTAGAAGAGAGCAGTTATGGAGTTTGACAAACCACATCTCAAGTAGGAGAAATATGTGAAGTTTTCTGTAATTTTAAAACTATGGGATAGAGAAAGAAGGAGTAGTTTTTTTTAAAAAGAAAATATCAAAATGGAAACTTTGGGAGAAAGATAAATAAGGAAAAGTACTTATTTTAGCAGCCTTTACAGATCTACATATAACTAACTTAGGGACTTAAACATGTAAAGCTTCATTTGCTCATAAAATTATCATAATTGGTACACCAAGTTAAACATGTATTTTTCTATCAATCAATTGAAGTTACTTTTCAGTGTTTTAAAATCTTATTTCTGGATCTATAAGCCATTTGAAAACTAGTCACTGTTTATTCTGGAATTTGTGTCCTTTTTGGAACCAAGCGGATAAATAAAGAACAACTCATTTTCTAGAAACGGGGGAGGAAAATACCCAGTTCATGTGAATCTTTATCTTGTTCATTAAATTTTCTGAGTTGCAACTATCTGAGATATAAATATATGCTGTTCCTAATTCTTTAAAAGTCAGCTTTAATAATTTTCTAAAATGAAAAGTTTGAGGATGGGGCCAACTTTCTACTGTTACATTCTGGTTTTATCCTTGATTAACTGTTTTAGGACATTTAATTAGATGGAGTTGCACCCCTGTCCCTAGAGCAGCCGTGGGCAAACTATGGCCCGCGGGCCGGATCCGGCCCATTTGAAATGAATAAAACTAAAAAAAAAAAAAGACCGTACCCTTTTTTGTAATGATGTTTACTTTGAATTTATATTAGTTCACACAAACACTCCATCCATGCTTTTGTTCCGACCCTCCGGTCCAGTTTAAGAACCCATTGTGGCCCTCGAGTCAAAAAGTTTGCCCACCCCTGCCCTAGAGTCTGGTTTTAGCCTGTGAAGGTTTTATTGTATCCCTTGTTATCTATACAGAAGAATTGGAATGATCTGATAGTTTTATGTGGACATTTTCACATCAAACTCTTATTTCATACTTTTCACATGTCAGTTTAGAAGAAAGATAATTGATTAGTAATATATAAAGATTTAATATTAAACATTTTATCTATCACTCTAAATTTCTAAAAATCAAACATTTCTACATTTTATAAATGTTTCCTTTAGCAGGGTTATGGTGATGGAAGACAAAAGTGGCTCTTGAAACATTTATGTAGAAAAATGATACCCAAATCTGTCTCTCAGATCCTTATTGCTCCTTGACAATTCTGTGTGTGTTTTCTCCACAACTGCCCTGTGAAGTAGGTACTGTTATGTCCATTTTATAAATGAAAACTTCGAGACTCAGAGATTACATAAGGTCTATGGGCGTCTCAGTGTGGAGCTGAAGCAAGGTCCTTTGACTCAAACCATGAGTTACCTTTACCATCAGATTGCCGTTTGGAAGGACAAACAAATATTCCAACTGACCGCCCATTGGCTACTCCATTTTCACTGACATTTTATTCCTATTGTAAAACTAGAAATGAAAACATGCTGGAAGTACAGTTTTTATAAGGTAATTTCAAGCAAGACCCTGTAGAGCTTCAGCAGACAAATGAGTGCTTTTGCTGCTGTGATTATCTCATGAAGGGGGCTTTATGACTATTAGGAATTTCAGCTTTATGTATAATTTATTTTAGTCAATTGCCTTGATCACTAGGTGGAAACTGCCAGTCAGTGTTAGAAAGTTCCAACTGTGAGATTTAGAGAAATTAACCTGCTCTTTTAGAATGGGGAGCTGACAATCAGAAAGCACTTTTGTTCTGAGCTGCTTGATAATTCCATGATTTTTTTTTTAAAAGTAGCCACTAAATAGAGTAGACACAAATTAATGACTGGCTAGACAACTCCAGCAATACCTTTCCTTTTTGAAAAGCATGGTAGATATTAGAACAGAGGTCAGATCCAATGGCTATATAAAAAGTTTGATTTAAAATGAATATTTATTTGATGGCTTCTATAATACCATACCTCATTTTATATGTAAAAAGAGGGGTTCACTTAGTGACCTTTGCAAATGGGGCTAAGTTCACATGTGTGTTGGAAATACTATACTTTTGAATGAATTTTTAAAAGACATCTGAATTGACTTAATGCTGTGACATTTTAAAAAGGCATGTTCTATTTATATTAATCTTAGGATTTTTCTACGTGTTAAGTTAGTGATAGATTCTTTGAGTAGAGGATTTTTCTATGTGGTTGGGAATCTATTTAGAGGTGACAAGTACTAAATGGCAGTCCCATAATCTCTCAAAATGAAAATTCAGACTATGCATATCCTCCATTTATAAAAAATACTAAAATGTTATTTATTTATAAGAAGGACAATGTCAGGTTTTTATCTAAATAACAAAGTGGGTGGCTTTAAATATGTCCTTTGTGTGGTAGTATCTTTCAAATTCATCTTATTCCCACAACTACTTTCATAGCCCTGAAGTATCTGCCAAACCGGTATTTACATCTAATGGTCCAGATGGTCACAGTGTGAAATGCTGCCGTGGATTCACTGAGGCTAAAAAGACTGAATCTGGCCTAGCGTACAAATGTACTGTAAATTGTTCAGGTGCATGAGACAGTGTGTTATATCTTTGAATA